GTGATGGGTATTAAGGAGGGCACGTACTGCATGGAGCACTGGGTGTTATACGAAAACAATGAATCGTGGATCACTACATCAAACACTAATGTGTATTATATGGTGACTAACATAACATAATAAAATTAAAAAATAATGTAGTTGGACTCTCCCTAATTCTACAAGGGGCAACTGAGAGGAAGAGAAGGGGCATGATGGGCCCAAGGTCACTCAGGCAGCTGGTGGCAGAACTCAGACCATAATCAGGGTCTTTTCCAGATGTAGTCCACTTCCGTGTCCCCCCAAACTGAGGGAATTTGGCAGAGGTGGCACCAGGTAAGATTAGTGAGGCACTACCTTCTAGAGTAAAATGTAAAGGGGCACGAAGATACTTGCAATCAAGATCAATACTTGAATTTTTTTAGATCAGCAAACTACAGCTTGTGCAGCCAACCATTTTGTAAATAAGGTTTTTTTGAAAAAAAGAGATAACAGTGGCCAAGATATGGAAGCAACCTAACTGTCCATCGATACACGAATGGATAAAGAAGATATCGCACACACACAAATATTACACAGCCATAAAAAAGAATGGGATCTTTCCATTTGTGACAGTATAGATGGACCTAGAGGGTGAAAAGTGAAATAACTCAGACTAAATAAGATATGTTTTCACTCATATGTGGAATCTAAAAAAACAAATGAATAAATAAGCAAACAAAAAGCAGAATCAGAACTGTAAATTTTACAGAGAACAAACTGATGTTTGTGGAGGGGGCAAAATGGGTAAAGGGGAGTGGTAGATATAGGCTTTCAATTATGGAATGAGTAAGTCAAGGAATAAAAGGCACAGAATAGGGAATATAGTCAATGATACCATAATAGCATTGCATGGTGACAGGTGGTAGCTATACGCATAGCATAATGTATAAATTTGTCCGATCATTATGTTATAATTACTGAAACTAACGTAATACTGTGTGTCAACTATGCTCAAATAAAAAAATTTAAATTAAAAAATAAAATAAAATAAGGGTAACAATGGAATGTATTTCATAAAGTTTTTATAAGAATTAAGGGAAAAATACTTAGAATAGTACCTGGCATAAGACTTACATAAATCTTGACAGTTACTACTGAACCACAATTTAATGTATACACATCATTGCTTCATTTTAATTTTTAACCAGAAATTATTATTAGTGGGATACAAGGTATATGATATCTTTCATCTTTTGGTTAAAAAATAAAACCCAGGTAATCTTAAGTAAAAATAATCAGAGATAGTTCTTAATAATCCACCACAGCTAAGTAAGGAGCATTCATCCTAAGAATTGTCAGGTAACTAATTAAATTACAGTGGAATTCATAGTTCTTAGGTCTTATGTTTAGCTACAACAATTAAACAACAGGAGAATTGATATAATATTTAGAGTAAACTTTCAACAACTATACCTACTTAGTACCTGACGTTTTGCTTGGTGCACGGAAATATGCAGGTCCAGGAAGGTTATACTTACTGGGTGGGCATAGAGATTTGCTATGCTATCCATATGCATTATATAAATTTAAGGGAGCAGAAACTTGAAAAATCTAAACTGATAATGGAGACTATAAAGATAATTTCTCCTTGGATTTGAAATGCCATTATATTACATTTTTTCCCCAGCAGCTATTTACCTTCTTACTTAGGTCATGTCATGGCTTAAGCTATACTTGTATTCAGTAAGCACATGTAAGAAAACCCAATAAAGCAAGAAGTTATTCTAAAAACATAATCGCAGGAAAAAGCCATCTTGGGTTTAAAGATTGTGATGGATAATCTGCACACAGATTACTGAAAGTTAACAATGGATAATTTATAAATAATTACAATAAAATACTGAATTTTCCCTTTGGTTGGAAAATACATAGTACAAAAATAGGATTTAATATGTTTATTCTAATTATTATATCAACGTGTATTACATACATTTTCTCTTACTAGGCATGGTACTCAGGTGAGGGTGTATGATGCTTATTAAAATAGATTTCTGATTGGCAAACACAACTGGATAAGTCAGATTTTGTTCTGTTTATTGATGTCTATAGTGGGCATTTTAATCCCAGAAGTGAATAATTGTCGCTAAGCACTAAGTCACTGGCGATTAAAATTAACATCATAGAATGCAAATCTAACATTACATTTTAGAATTTTGAACTAAAATAGGAAAAACGTATTTATTTTGACTTTCTCGGTATTTGTTCTGCTCCCAGACCATACTAAGTGGATAAACATCCTAGCAATCTGAGGATGCTATCCAGGATTCTGCTATGATGCACACAAAGAATTAATAGATCTGTTAGTGGTTCCTAGATTGATTACTCTGAATCAGAAAATAATGCAGGGACAATGTGTTGAATGTCATGATTCAGGAAAAATCAACTGACAGCATAATATAAAATGGGTAAAGGGGAGAGTGCCAGTTAGAAAGACAGCATTGCGGAGTGTAATGTGGGCAGGAGTTCCACATTTTAAGAACTCTTTGGTTAATGTGTATAAAACATACACATAGATATTTATTTTAATAAAATAGAGTTAGGAATTGCTGTTTAAGAAAAACACACATTTTATAAAGTCTTCCTTCAATTAAGATTTTAAATTTGAAAATTAGTGTTTACGGGACTTAATGGATATATAAGAATTATTAATAGCTAATAGAATTATGAGTATAATTTAACATCCTGTGCACAGCTTGTAGAAATGCTAGGTGGTTAAAAATATCTATAAAGTCTCAGGTAAATATGTTTAATGGAAAATGATCACTTGACCAATATCAACAGCTTGGTATAGTATATTAGTTAATGCATTCACGTATATTATACATTCGGATGAATAGTATGTCAAATGTATAATTTCTCCCTTCAAACCTATTTATGTTTTTGTTTTACATGTATCTTTACCATATCCTTTTTTTTCCTGTTACCTAAAATCAAGAACATAGAATTTTGTTAGATTCTGTTCACCTCCTGTATTTCTGTATCATACAGTTAGTAAATTCTCTGAATCTATCTCAGGGGCGTCTCTTCTCATTTCTTCCCTTTCATTCCCACTGCCACTGCTCTAGTTCTTTCCCTGTCTGTATACTGTGTGCTCTCTTTCCCACAATCCGCCCTCCTTAAAACTGTTAGTGTTCTTTCTAAGCCTATTTCTGCTTCCTATGGTAAAAAGTAGTGAGCGGCATTGGATCCCTATAATTAGACCAAGTCAGGATTGTGAGTGGAACAAAAATTGTTGAGGTTAACCAATTTTTATTTTTGGTCTCTCATGTCCATGTAGGATTACTACTGTACAAAGTATAAGATTACAAAAGGAGAAATGCATTAATCCCCTTGAAACTCTTTCTTCTACTTGCCCTTTAACACATGTGTAGTGGACAGAGTGGCCAGATAAAATAGACAATACTCAGTTATATTTGAAATTTACATAAGTAATGAGTATCTTTTCAGTATAGGTATGCCATGCAGTATTTTTATTTATTGCTTTTTACTTGCCAAATCCAGGAACCTTAGTAGTGGATGTTACCAGGAACCACCAAAATCCCCTCTTAAGGATGGTGGTGCTTATTTCCCCAGTTGCCGTGGCTGTTGCCTGCTTTGCCCCACGGCCGAGCTCCTCCCCAGAAATTTCCTTCAGCTGAAAGGAGCTGCCTCTTGCTATGGGAGCTGCCTCCCCTGGGGCACACTGAATTCAATGAAGAAAGAGAGTAAGGGCCCGGCCCCTTTGCCTCAATGCGTTACAACTCTGAAGGGTGGTCTCAGCTTCAAAGCCCCCTGTGGAATCAGCGGAGGCTTTTACTGCAACTGTACCATAATTAAACTTCTTCCTCTACCAAATGCTGCTGCCGGTATTTCTGCACAGGTGTTATTGCTGACAGCTTTCTTCACTAAACTCTCTGAACACAGATCTCTGTCTCAGAGTCTGTAGGCTGAGGAACCTGACTCACTCATTCATCATTTTCCTGCTCCCTGAACAGTACCAGTAGACATACATACTTGGTAACTGGCAGGACATCCACCTT